AATAAACAAATAGTAATTATCCGTCCGTGTTGTTTTATCAATCAAGAATCTACCTTTTGTTGAATAAACCGAAACTGTTTATATTACGACAAGTTCGTTAATTAAACGATAATAAACGAATAAAATTGTTAGACTCTTTAAGAAGAAGAAAAATAGAAAACTCTAAACCGATGAAATAATATGATATACAAAAAGTGAATAATTCTATTTATTAAAATTATAATTCGATTAAAAAAAAATAGTTGAAACAAACTTAATTGAAGAATTAATATAAAGAATTTAATTTAAAAAAAGAAAAAAAAAGTGAAATAAGAAAATAAATCCAAGATAAAAAAAGAATCGTGTTTATTTTCAATAAAACCGCGCCAAGGCCAATATGGAATCACATAATTTTTTTACCACAATCTCTGGTTAAACGACGTTCCCGTGGCGCGAGATTAAAACCTGGCGAGGAACGAATCCCGTAATTCTCAATTAGAGATCCCTTCGAATTTAATCAAAGCTCCAACCGTAAGTAAGCGAGAAAGATCACGAAAGATCCTCAAGATTGTAGCCGTCAACACCGATTACGAAATATCCACGAAATATCGCGTGTTCGTTTCCAATGATCTTAATGCACGCGTTTCGAAATACGATCGAACAATGAAACCGTTCTCTACGAGCGCCGTTTATACCCTTCACTAATCGTGAAAAAAAAAAGAAATCGAAAATACGCGTCGCTTTTTTAACAACTGGCGCAGAACGTGCTTCGCTATCGATATATAATAGAGAGCACAAGTGAGCCGAGATGAAAAATTGTCGATTATTTTAAAGTGTAAAAAAATTTCACGATCCTGAATTTTTGTTTTCTTCAAAAAAGGTTTTCATATCGTGTATCCTTCTTCTGAAAATTTTGACAATATTCAATCAATATTTCGAGGATACTGAAATATTTGAAATATCTTCGTGTAAACTAATTTACTATTTTAAATTATTAAAACCGAGAATAAGATTAAAATAGATGAAAACAAATTTGATAAAATATATCTAAAAAAAAAAAAATTCATTTGTAACAATTAATTGTTGAAAAACATTTTAATAGGAACAGTAAAATAATTGCGAAATAGTGACAAAATTTTTTTTTAAATATAAAACTATACATGATAGAAACAAATATTATATACTCTACTATTAATCTGATATGATATTTATATTAGATTTCTTTTAATTTGAAAAAAAAAAGAGAGAAAAAATTAAAATAGAAAATGAAGAAATGGAAAGGACGAATTAGAAAAGGAAGATGGAATAAGAAGATGAAGTTCTGCTAAAAATAATCATGGCTGTTTTGAGAAAACCGATTTACCATCGATACAAATTTTCAATCTACATGTCTGCAAATCCGGGGGAAGTAATTTGAAAGAAATAAGAGGGAAAAGAAGGAAATAGAAATGGAGGAATAAGAAGATGACGTTCTGTGAGAATAATCGTCGGTGTTTTAAGGGCTGCGCGAAAATGCATTTCTCTTCTCAGGCTTTACGATCGACATAAATATTCAACCTACACGTGGAATTTAAGGAGGAATTTAAGAGAAAGTAATTCAAGAAGAAACAGAGAAAAATAGGAATGAAGGAATTTCGAGAAATGAAACGTGGTGGAATAGAGCAATGAAAATGTAATTTTACATCGTAGTTAACCTTTTCATCTTACGTATACGTGTTAAACAATATAATTAAATGATAAATAATATATTTAATCTCGATGAAACAATCCTCGAATTTTTATTTTCTTTATCTTCTTTACGAAAAAAGAAAGGAATTGTTTCTGTACAAATGTTGAAAGAAAGAATGAAAATTTTCGTAATTCCGTCAATAATATTTTTATGATAATTATTGTAATATAATACTTAATATGATTATTAACGAAAAGAAATAGAGAAATCTGAAAAAGAGATAAAGTGGTATAAAGACATTAGCTCCTTTCGTATTTTTCTGAACGAAAAGAAGGAATAGAAATAAAAAAAAATCGCAAATAAGGATCCTCGTTCTTATGATAACAATATAAAATGCATTTCTTCCCTCGTGCTTTTACCGGCATAAATAATTCAACTTCAACCTCTAAAAACTGAAAGAGACAAAAAGGAGTGGAAAAAGGAAAAATGTAGCATGAAGATGATGCTCTATAAAAGTACATCATTTTCTAATGATAGCACATTTTTCCTGCACACTTTATCGATATAAATATTCAATCTACATTTTCAAGAAAATTCAAAAAGGAAAGCATGTAAGAGTTTAAATGTATTAATGTCTCTCATTGTTATCAATCGACGTTTCAATATTTGTTAATTTGTAATTCGAATAAAAAGATATTCTTTATATCGACAGAAACAAAACTCACGCACAAAGAATAATTATTTTAATAATTACATTCTTATTCAAAAGGATTCTTAATATCCTTAATAATTTTTAACAAAGTATGAATAAGTTCGACATTTTATAATGATTGTGCACTTCAAATTGCAAATATTTTCCCTTAATATAGTGTTTTTAACATTTATATGTACTTTTCTTATCGTACAAAATATCAAGTCGTAACTTTCTTTCAGATCTTTTAACTTCTGCCAGTTTCCAAGCAAATATAACTTTCCTATCTACAACTTTGAAATACATACCACATCTCTACATTATCCCTATCCTTTACAGTATTTTTAAAAAAATTCAAAGAAAAGAGAAAATGACGAAAATATTCGCCTCAATAGCCATGCATATACGTATTTTACGACCTGACATATCCCATCTATTTTTTAAATCTAAAAAATATATGTACGTAAAAAAACCGACATGTTCCCGCTCAAAAATTTTACACGAAACAAACGTTTTTTCGTACGAACGTTTCCATTTGCTGCACGGAATTAAAGAAACGTTTCACTCATAATATACTGTTATGTTATTGAAATTAAATATAATCGAAAGTTATAATTATTCAAATTTCGATTCAATGAAACTGAATAATATGCAATTTGTTTTTCACTACCAGCCCAACATTATAAGTAGACTACAAATATTCATGGAGAAATTAAATCTATCCATGAACATACGTTACTCCAATATATATTACATAGAATTAGCATTCTATGTTATTCGAAGGTTATATCGTCTCATACATATTTCTGCATATTGCAAAATCATTCTGCAAATCACAATAATAGAAATCGATCGTTTCCCTCAAAATCATCCTAACATCATCCTTTCACCTTCCAAACGAAAAAATATTGAAAAAGCCATACAAATATAAAAGAATAAATAAAAAAATAATAATCTGGACGTGGCGGCAGAGGCGCACAAGGAACCATCCTACCTCCGAGAAAACGTGAGCACGTCGAGAGGCGGCAACGTCATCCCGTCGCTGGAATCCTTCGTCGTGGCGACGAGTCCTTTTTCCCATCACACACACGTCGCACACCTCCGTGTCACATGTCACACGAGCACACCACGGGCGAACATCCTCGGGCTAACGCGCGCACCACCGATCGAGCAAAAATCTCTGATCATCGAAGATTCAATTTCAACCACCAAGTCCAAGATCACTGATCACCCCTCGAACAATCGATACCCGACAGAAATCTGCTGGTGCACGCACAAGTGTATCTCTGGCCGGCCTTCAACTACTCGTAACAGCCCGCCGCACCACACCGCCACAAGTGGTTGTGCCCTGTCAGACACTGGGCCAGATGCAGCTAAAGGCTCGAGGGATCGTTGCAACGATTTTTATACACGTTTATCAAGGATCGATCGATCCTTCGATCACCGATCCAACAAGGGCACCACCCATCGTTCCAACGTGGAAAAAGCAATAATTCCGTCTTTTATTAAGTTAAATCCGAACAGGTCTAATTGAATAAACCCGTCGTTCGAGTAAACACAACGCGAACAGGTGATCGTCGACAGGAGGGGTTTGGTTTGTCAACACGAGACGCCTCCTAAACACTATATGTTTCTCTCCTTTGAGCGGATTCGAATCCTCTTGATATTTGTCGGATACCTGAGAATCTGGTGTTTCTCCAGCCAGGATGGTGTATTGTTGTTCGATCGTCGATCAGGACAATCAACAATCCGATCCACGATCACCTGAGCTCACTTCACGATTGCACGATTGCACGATCGTAGTCGCATTGCTGCTGAAGGATAGAGGGGGGAGGGTAGGTATGTTCTCGTCGTCTCTCGCTTCTCGAGGATACGATGGACGCACGAATGGACGTACGAGGGGCTTTTGAAAAGAGCACGCACACTGTTAGAGTTAGCAGCCTTCTTCGAGGCTGGTTTTCCTCTTCGGCTGGCTATCGACTGCCATGCACCCAAGTGTCACATTGCCGGAACTAGGGGAGCTGACACCACGCCTGCGTCCACGGAGACGCTGCACGGCGTCGCGACGCCGGCTGGCCACGGCGAACGCCGTTGCCAGGGCGCATGCCATCGTTCGATTCGATTATGGTCGAGAGATATCCGCTGGCCGCGAAATTCGATTGGAATTTGTGGAGGGAGGGGGAGGTTTAGCCGATCTTTTGAACTGTGCTCGTTGCGTTGCGTTTTTGGACGAAGGGAGATCAGGGGTGGGTCGAGCGAATGTCTTTTATAGTAGTCTTTTAGATTTTAAATAGATCGATAGGTTGTTTCGAAATATTGATCGATGAAAAGTAGTCGAAGAATGAAAAGAAATTTGGATCGATTAAGACAAAAGAGAGGATCGTAATGGTAATAAAAAAAAATCTTATGTCTATGGAAGAATGATCGTTTCTGGTAATGTATAATGAGATGATATTACTTACAACGAGAGACGAGAAATTTGGAAGGAATTTAATACAAAGTGATTGTATATATTACTTTTTACGTAAAATTATGATTCTCGTGTATATAATTTATTCTTTTTGTTTTAATAAAAAATAAAATTTACCAATATCTTTGGAAAAAATTCCTTCTTTCCAATGTCTCATCTATGATGAATGACGAATGAAATTTATCGCTTACCAGTTTGAGTGCTGCTGTCGAAAAACGTGTTCGATATCTCGACAGACATGGTAGCGAATGTTCCATCGGTGATTTGTGTGGAACTGTCTCTTCGTCCTTGATATCTCTGAACCTGAAATGTACACCAAAAAGAAAAAAAAATGTATTGAAAAAAATAACTATCCGAGATAATTCTCGAAATATTTTCTTGAATTTTTAAACGAAAAAGAAATTGTCATTTTGCTTTTTTTTTACTCGTTAAATTAAACCATAAAATTAAAAAAAAACGGACCAGTTTTTCACTTTGAGAACTCTGTCTTCGAAAGTTTCGACATCTTATTGTCTCTTCCGTGGTGCTCTGTCGTCTAAAGCCACGAGCAATAAATATCTCGTCCGTTGTCGATTGTCTTCTTCCTATAGGAGCATGAGGTATACTCCCTGGAGCACGAGCACATGGACTTGGATCCCTTGACGAACAAGAAGAACTGTCCGGTGATCTGGAAAACAAAAATTTTGATTGGATTAGTAACAATTCTAAATCAAGAACAGATGACTTGAAAAGAAACTATTTTCTGTTCAATATTTTTTAATAAAGAAGTTATAATGTATATTAATAACTTTGAAGAAAAATAAAATAAATATATACATATATATATATATATATATATATATAAAAGAAATTTTTTGCATTATGTTATTTATGTTATAAATCACGTTCATATGAAATAAAAATGGAAAAAAAGTTTTTAACAATAACGGACTATTCTGATAAAGTAAACGGTGAAATAAAAAGGAACAAGATATCAAAGCAGCAGTCGATCATTTTTTATCTTCAGAAGATCTTCAAAGTTTTCCATAAAAAGGGTGTTGAAATTTCATTCTTAATCCCTTAATCCGTTCTCTATCGATGGAGTCGCGTTACCATCCGTTTACCACCCCACGGAGGATCGATAAAATGCAGGTACCTAGGTGGCGACCGTCCTGCCATCGACATTGACTGCCGCGTCAGCTGAGATCTCTCCCTGATAGGACTGATGTCCCTTTTATCGACTGCTCTATCTGGACTCAGATGGCTCTTCGAATCACGGCGCCGCGGATACGAAGCGGAATCGGGGCTCAGCGAGTCTTTTCGAGCTCTTCGTCCTTCGAAAATATATCTTTCCGTCATTAATTCTGATATAAGACAATTTTACGTACAAAGAGAGAAAAAAAGAAAAGAAAACGAAGAGGAAGGATATTATGAACGATAGAATAATGCAAGTTATCGACAACAGGAAGTAGAGGAAGAAGAGAGATGGTTTTTCTATTTCTCTATTTTTAAATGATAATACATCGTGCAGAAAGAGATACAGGTAGTGTACGTTAAAAGGCTGAATAGTTAGTAGATAACGTGTATTTATATTTAGAGTTACATAAAATAGTTTTATTCGCAACGAGGATGAAAATGGTCGATAATGGTAGATTGTTAATGATTGTACCTCCTTCGTCAGTATCCGGTGACAGTGTCGGTTGGCTTCCTCGTCGCCGTGCTGGTGGCATCGACTCATCTATGGCAGCCGATTGTCGTATCAATCTCGACAACTTGTTCGGTGATACTTCCTTTCCCTTCTGATAACACTGTAACAGAATTGATAACGGTTAAAATGTTTCGATATCCAGTGTTTACTTGTATGTTATTATTCAAGTTCTCTTCATAATTACAACCAGAGAGATTTCGATAAAATGTCAAATACGATGGTACAATTACGATATACTTATACTATTTACATAATTGAAATTTAGAAAAATTATTCTATTTAAGAATATAAGATGGTACCATAACCAGACAGAGAATTATAAGCTAGTTTTGATTAAAACTAACATAATTAATACTTTAATTTGCATCAATTTAAATTACGTAACAAACAAATTTCGAAAATATTCTATCATAAAAATAGCACATACTTATAAAAACAGAAATTCTTTTGTCATTGCATAATAAAAATGATATCGATTAAACTTACCAATTATAATTAATATAAATATAAAAATAATTTCTCGTTGACATAATCACTGATGACAAATTAATATAATTAAATAATGACAAAGAAATTAATACGTTAATAATTATCAATAATTATTAACTCGTATTAAATAATTCTACACAAATTAATTACAAAACTTCTATCATCTTACCACCCTCACTCCAATAGTTCCAATCACTCCACAATCAACGAGTCCACACCGATCCTTCCTCGATTCTCTCTCCAATAAAATCTTTCGATATCTCACCTGAGTAGTCGAGTCTCTTCTGGTGCTAATCAATGGGTGGGTCGGTGTGTTGACGTTTGGCGAGCCAACGGGACTGGAGCTACCGGAAGTCGAGGTTCCTGGAAGTGGAAGGCTGCTACCCACAGTTGGAGAGACGCTTGGTGGCGTCACTGATGACATCACGATGGTAGGGGTGGTGATGGACGAGTCGAGGGTTAAATTTTTACTGTCGACGACGGTCGCGGCTTTCGGCTCCATCGTCACTGTGGTCGACGTGGTCACCGCGGTGGTCGTCGACGACACAGTTGTGGTGGTAGTCGTGGTGGACGTTTTTGATTCGCTACTCGTCGTCACGGATGTTTTGCCCTCGATACTACTCGATCGTTCGCCTTTATCCATGGAATTACGGGCTTCCAAATGTTCTCTGAAAAAAATAAAAAATTATATATAGTTTAATGGAAAATACAGTGGTAGTGGAATTTTTCATTGATCCCTTTGCTCGTGTATTTTTATATCATTAAATTTTAAACACGCAGAATTGAACGTAATCATAATGTTAATGATGTTGCGATAATAATTACGTTATTAAATCAATCAAGAATTGATTAATCATTCTGTAGGAAATAATCTACATAGTAATCTTGCATCTGATTGTAATCTATAATCATTGAGCAAATACAACTGAACTGATTATTATCTATGTATATTATTATGCCGATAGAATCAAATTATACGCGGATAGAAAAAAAAAAAAATCTATCGCAGATATCGTTTTCAAAGAAACGATGGTAATCGAAGATTACATTTCGTGTCTGAACAACAACGAAATTTAAACATTCTCGACCAATATCCATTGATTAAAAAATATTATAACGAATAAATTATCGATTCAATCATAATCAAAATGTAATCATTTCACAATTAACAATCGTTCAATTAATCATGACTTTTGATTACTCTTAATGATCAGTGATTAATGATTTTGCGTTAATAATTAATAACCTTCTCTAATCAATTTTACCATTATGCAACGATCAGATATATTCGCTTAAGGTATCGAAAGCTATTAATCCATCCCCATAATTGCATCAACTCGTATGATTTTTACGTTCGTGATTTCTTTCACGAACACGACGAAAAGTAATATATAAAAATAATAATAACGCAGAATCGATGATTCTATCGAAGACAATAATTCAAACCATTTAATTAATTAAACCCGTAAAAGTGAGTCGAAATTAACCCATTTCGCGTTCAAAGCCGATCGTTTTCTTTACCATGGCACGAAAACCTGGCAACGAGGATAATTAAATTCCCTTTTAGAGGAACAGCTCGGCTCAAAGACAAGGCTAGACACGCATCACAATCAGAAATCAGAGCCACGGGAATCCGATTGTTAAGGTCGTTATGTACCTGACAGCATTGCTTGCCGCGCTATCCGTGCTCGAAGCGCTCGGTCTTTGATCGCTTCTGTAATATTTCACGGGCATCACACCGCTACCGCTGTCCATTGATTGCTGCGATTGCTGCGATTGCCTGCGCCTGTGGTGACGGCAATTATGCTTCCGTTCCCCTTGATTTTTCGCCCTTCCACTCTCCCCTGATCCGCGTCGAGATCCTCTCGAATCGGTCTCTCTGAACCCTGGGAAATATTCGAGAGTAATTTGAATAACGGCCAAGCTCGTCGGACGTTTTGTCGGACATGTTCTACAGGATGAAAGAAATTTACGATGAAAAGTGGTAAAGCTTATGATGATAGCAGTGAGTGAAATATTGGATTGATATTTTAAAATATCGATAGAAAACTTGAACGAATGAAAGCGTGGTAAAACAAAGGAATAAATACGTAGATCTTGTGATATACGCGATTAAAAAGATGAAGGAATTAAATAATAAATTGCTTCATTCTCCTCCAAATGTTACACTACTTGAAACAATTCGTGTTTCTCTGTATAGATTTGTGTACATTCAGCCTCGTGACATTTATATATCAACAGAAACATTCGAAATAACCAACCTCGATAGGTGGGCGAAATAACGGTAGGGGGTGGTTGCGGCTGAGGCGTCTCCTTCTTTCCCCATAATCTGGCAAAATCATTTTTCAGCTCGGTGATCGTTGAATCCTTCCTCGATTTCGTGGACGATTGGCTTCTGATCCCGCTGTCCACCGAGCTCTCCCTCCTCTTGCGCAGTCTCTCCAGGTGGCTCGCGTCCGTGGTCGTCTGTCTGGACCACGGAAAAGACTTCGCTATATCTCCCAATGTTTCACGACGATACAACTTGTTCCCCCGCTCGCTCTTTCCAGCGCCACCCCCGCTCCACTCGCGCAAAATGTCTGTCAATTGTGCCAAGCTCGATCGTCGTCGACGTTGATTCGTCGCAGGTTCTTGCGGCTCGTTTGGCGGGGATATGCTTGTGATCTGTGTCGCCGAATCGCGCCTTCCGGTTCCTGAATCAATTATTCGTCATATTGTGGTTAGAAGAATAATTATTCTTAGCTATTTATACGATTATAAATTTTTATTCCTCGAGTACGAGTCAGTTTCTTGTTTTTTTTTTTTTTTTTTTTTTCTTTTTTTTTTTCGTTATGAAAAATGGAAGGTGAAAGGGGATTTTCGGAGGAGAAAGAATCGTGGTGTAATTGTATGCCTTGGCGAATTTTTAACGTGAGATTTAATTATGAGATTTTCCTACGTTGTAACACAGTGGTTGGGTATTTTAAAAGATGGAAAAATTAATTTTTTCCTCTGGGAACTTTTTTACGAACGGGACGAAATGAAACGTGGTGAAATTTGTTGTGCTTCATTTATTAACAGAATTGTACGTGAAATTGTATTAATGCTTCATGAAGCTATTTCGTAAGTAGATTGAAATGAATTTAATGATGTAATTATTTGAATGAATATTTATAATTCTGCATAATAAACATTAATTCGTTATACTATTTATCATGATTAAGTAGTGATTTATTCGTTGAGAAATATGTTTATCTTATAAAAATATAAAATTATAAAATAACGAAATTTTAAAATTGATAAAAATATAATCAAGCAATAACGAATGAAACACTCACCGAGGCGTTGTTTCAAGGTGGATTCCTCGACCTGTTCCCGCATAAGATCGTCCCATCCATTCCCCCCTTGCCACACCAGGCCGACCTGGTGGCTGAGGATCGGTAGATTACACACGAAACAGATCGCTGTCATGCTTCTGAAATCGAAATATCCACCAGATAAGATGATAGATCCCGATCTATGGGCAAATATAATGAGCTGAATGTGAAAGGAAGGGTGCAACGTCTCAACGATAGATTTTCAAACGTGAAATCCAGGCCATGCCAACAGAGCGTTTGTGAAGTGACACTCGATGATCGAGGTCGTGGTTTTTCTTGGCTACCCTCTACGTGGATTTTCTAGGATCACTTTCATGCTTGACAGGGTCACGAGACCCGCTTCTCCAGAAAAGGAGAACGAACGAAGATGAAGCGTAATCGAGTCCACTTTTCGAGCAAACTACTACGATACTACTCAAAATTGTGGATAGGAGAGGTTGATGGAATTCGGATTGATTGAAATACTTTCCTCGTATCCTATTCATTTCACAATTCATTCCGACAAATTTATAATATTATTTTTATCTCGTTGAAAGAGTAAGCAATATCAATATTTGCTGTTTAGATTTATTCTAATCTCTCTCTCTCTCTCTCTCTCTCGAGATTATTTCTACAATTTCTACAATCTTGCTCGATCTTAACACTTTCGAGTATAAATTTAGAAAAAAAAAAAAAACAAAGACACACAAGAAATGTTACAAATATTTTCATTCACTTTACGTTATCCATCAACTTCCCGCTCGATCAACTTATTTACCGATGAACAAAACAATACTTCTACGATACTTTTCACGTTCCTTTCAATTCACACAACACAATATTTCAAACGCAAAGCGAAAACTAGAGTAGGAGCGCGTCTGGGACACGCTCCTGCTCGTTTTTTCCTTTTTGAAAAAAATTACTCTCCCGGTTAATGGCAAAACGATCGGCAAACAGAACAATACTCCGGCATAATGGAGGTACGATATGTAACGCAGATACGTGGCTAAAGGGCTGGCATTCGCGTGGCCAGCATCATTCCAAAAGCGTGGATGCAGCGGAAACGAGATATGTACACGTGTATTCGTGTATCTAACCAGTGCACAGGTCGTGGAAACAAGTTTTCACGCAGATAAAGCCGCCACTCTTCGTCGGTGAACAAGTTGAAAATGTGATATTCGTTCACGGGGAGACGTCGTACGTGCCGAAAATGACCGTTTGATTCGTTCACAATTTGGCATTTAAGTATGATTCAATTTGCTGCCGAGCTTTGAATGGGACGAATTCGAAAATTGAAATTTCAGGCCGTCGCAATCAAGTTTCGTGTGCTGCGATATTTGCAACAAGTTTCAACATTAATTAAACTAGATAATTGTATAATAATTATATATATATGTATATAATGATTTTGTTTAAACGAACGTTGAAAAAATTTACACATTAACATGGATAAAAACAATTGTTTTAACGTGAACATTTTTATTAGAAATATATTTGTTAATATTATGAATGATCTAGAATCGAGTGTAGGAAAAGGAAAAGAATAAATGGAACAAATAATTATTCAAATGAAATAAGAATGGATTATTTCGAAGATTGTTAATTCATTTTATCTCGACACAAAATGAAGTTATTTTTAAAGTAGAAATAATTCTATATATACATATGACCAAGTTGCAACAATGAAATTGAAACGTTTATAAATTTTTCAATAAAGTAATCACGCGATTGTCTGTTCTTGCGTTGTGCTTGAATGTATGTAAAATTATTTGTATAAGAAAAATTTGATTCTTCTTTTGAAAGGAATTTTCCATTCTACGACTCGAGCAAACTGCAGTTCTATTTTAACCAATCTTTTCCTAATTCCGACTCTATAAGCTCGATATAAGTATGTATTTAGAAAATGTTATACGAACTTCTTGCAAACTGGATATTCTCGTGAGCACTTTTGCGAAGTTTCCACGAAAGTTTCATCCTAGAATTTGTTATTTTTTTTTTCTTCTTTTCAGATAAAGAAAATGAAAAAGATTTTTTTCATCTTTCGTATGTTTACTGGAATAATGTCGCAATATCTATAAATTTATAAACGTGAAAAATTCTAGGTGCACATTTTCCAGTAAAATATCGGAGAAATGAAAATTTTAATTGAACTTTTAATATTAAATATTTTATTCTTTTACTTTTTGTTTTTTAATCTTCTTTTTATAGAAATAATATACATGTGCAGCAAACTGAATCATATTGAAACGAAATTTTCGACACTATTTTTTCTCGAAAATTAAGATCTTTATATTCAAATTAATATTCAGATGGCTATGCTATATTTGAATTTATTACTTTCTGTTCAAGGATCATTTAAAAGATATGAATTGTTCATATGCAGTGTATAAATAATTCAATTAAATCTGAAAGCCAAATACAAACCCAAAAATTAATACATAAAAATATCTGTTCAATCTTATTTAAGATCTTATTTATCTATTTATCTAATCTTATTTAATGTTAATCTTAAAATTGCATCAAATGAAGTGAGACTCGATTGATTTCGAGAAAATTCTTTACAAATTTACAGCCTAAAAAAAAAAAAGAAAAAAACAATTCATATTTTCATACGATAAAAATAATTCCCTTTATAAAATATACGAAAGTAAAAAATTCAACGACGATACGATGCTCGAATGTTAATAACGAATAATTTCATTCTCACCTCGGTTTCACCCCGAAGAAATAACTCTGCGCCACATCCTGTGCATGATTATAAAAAGAAACTTGAGAGAAGAAAGGAAG